CTTTTTTCAGAAGCTCCTCTATCGAATATGGATTCCTTTTCCTCTGAGGTTGCGCCGGTCTTCCTTCAACCGCCGCTTCTTTGGCCATGGTGCTCTGCTCGTTCCCTGTTTCCAAGACTCGCGACGACGTTACTTTCTGCTTGTCGCCGTTTGTCGGCGACGGGCTCTGCCGATTTTCCAAACTCCCGGAGCAGCCGGACGTACTGTGTCTCACGAACGCGCTACGATCGCTGCCGATCTTCTGGCCGAGTTCCAGAATTATAGGCGAGTTTTGGAACGGTTTGTAATGATCCTGCGACTCCGTGTTCTCGTCCAGGTCGCTCTTGTCCAGAGAATCGTCGCTGCCAGCCATCGAGCTCGAGTTAGACTTCAAGTCGACCTGATTCGTTGGCCCGCTCTGCTCCGACAAACGTTCCACGTCTAACGATCTGCAAGACATATTTTCGAACGATTTATTTTAATAAATAATCTCCTTTGTTTACTCAACGTTGATCGCAAACAGCGACACCGTACAAATCGATATCAAAGTTTTTACTGCATGTACTTTGATTGATGAATGCATAAATATAATAAAATATAAATTTTAAATTTTTTTTTTTAAATTTTAAAGTGCACATAATGTGAAAATATATACGAACTATCCAACATATGGTATCTATGACATTTAGTACTATACCCATAATTTAGTCTTATTGTTAGTACTATACCTATAATTTTCAAAATTTTATCTTTTGAATTATAAATTCTCGAAAATACGAATTTGCATGTAAAAATCTGCAGTCTGATAATTATAATTGATTATAGTCCAGCGTTTGCCGAGCGATGTGTAACAGAAATATAAATCCTTTAACTGTAGTTTCTCCCTTTCCTTGCAGATGGATCAATCATGAATCGCTCAAGATCGTAAACGATCGGTTTTTTTTTTTATTATCGGTTATAGTCTTCGGCATTTAATGAAGAGATCCAATTAAGGGATCTCACAGGAGGAAGGAGGAAAAAGAAATTGATTAAATAAATCAGACTTACGTGAATGATTGCATCCCGTGATGCAAGTGCAGCGTGGTCGCTTGATAAAGAGACGAGTAAAAGCTCGGATTCCAAGATGGCGCGCTGGTATTACCGGAAGTCGTGGAAATGTGCAGTGGTCCCAGTGATCCCGGATAAAATAATTGGTAATCCGTTCTCATGAGCGCGTCTAAGGACGAAGATAAAACGCATCGTATAACACACAATGGTACAAAAACCAAGAGTACAAATTGCAATTATATCCTATTAATATTTAACGCTTTTCTGTACGTAGAACCCATTAAAAATTAAGTCGGAATTCTGTATTCCATTTACTTTTATTTGCCTTTATGTAGAGGCGGCCATTACGTTCGATGGCCACACTGGCATGAAACGTACAAGGTTTATTGCGATCTTAATGTTTATATCTTCGCTCGCGTCATCTTGAATTATATCGGCGCGTTTCCAGTTTCCTTTGGAAGGAGCAAGGAGGACACGAAGATGATTTATTTTTCTTTATAACTAATTAGTGGAAATCTATTTTATAGTCGTTTCTTGTTCTTCTTTCATTTTAAAATATTTCATGTTTTGACGAAAAAAAAAGAAAGAAAAGATTCAGCATATAAAATCGATGTATTAATCCTACCAGAAGGTTGAAATATTATTTTCTTATTAAATATATATATATTCTCCTTTATTTTTCAATATTTTTGTAATATCACGAGTTAAGATAATGATGTTAATTATTAGAATTGTCAAGGAACTATCGGAAGAACGTGGCGAACGCATCACGTTTGATCGACAGAAATTTCGTGAGCGGCAGCTTCGTCCACGAGATGTGGAAAAAGAAGATCGCAACGTTATAGACAATTTACGGTATAAACGAGGTGAATTTCGAGGCGAATTTTCGAGTTTCTTTTAAGGGGTTGCGTGCCGGTCATCACGCTGCAGCATGCTGACGAGTCAATCGGCCACAGGGTATTTCATGAATTCTTTTTCTTCGTGTTTTTCTATCCTCCTTCTTCCTCTTCCTTCCCATTCATTTCTTTTCACTCTAATCGCTGCATCTCTGCAACGTTTGCTCTTCCTTCCCTCCTTTCCCTCTCTCTCTCTCTCTCTCTCTCTGTTC